AACCCGTCATTCGGTTCTTTGTGGCGGGGCCATCCTGCAGAACCCTGGGCTTCAACATCGTCAACGATCGAGCGCTGTGGATCAATATTGCTGCCCTTTTCGGGCAAGACGGTGACCAGAGGACAGTCGTTGCCGATCTGGTCCGAACCGCCATGCACGAACTCGCACACGCGTGTACCCCAGGGTGCGGGCATGGATGCACGTGGGACGTCGCACAGTCACTGGCAAACCAGACCTTTTACCACGAAAGTGTTTCAGCCGGCCTGCGTGATAGAATTTGGCACCCAACCCCAGGGTTGAATTGGGAAACGGGGGTAACTGTGCTCTCGTAAAATAGGTACGTTTGGTGTTGATTATATGAGGGAGGGCACTCACACACGTATTTTAGAGGGGCAACCCATAACATCGTCCACTCCTTCAAGAAAAATGAGCGACGAAACGGAAAAAGCACGCGGGTTTTTTTTTCATCAAAGCTACGGCTGCAGGCACACGTCGCCAGAGAATGAGAAAGAGTCCAGTCCCGTAGACGAAGAAAGAGTGTCGGGGCCCTTGCCGAGTACAGCAACTCATTAACTCAGACCCCAGCTGCGGGGATCCCTTCGTGCCCGTGGGTTCAGCCACCATTGACGGGCGAGTGATGGTAACCACGGGCAACCTGGAGGACGAGTGGACGAAAATGCTGGCAACCGAGTGCAAGAATATACTTATTTTTTTAGCGAGTTGTTGGCACATGAATATGAAGGTACAATCTGTAGTGTATTTTCTCCGGGGGGGGTGGGGGGTGGGGGTGATTGATGCGTAGTCTATGCCGACCACGAATACATGCTTCCTTTTTGTTTTCTTGCCTTTCAAGCTATCGATTCACTTTTTATATCGGCATTCTACATTGTACGATGATTTCGTTGGCACTTGAATGTGACGTGCACCAGGTCCGGCTCGGCAAACCACGCAGAGAAACAGTAAAGCTTGGTTGGAAATTCGGCTCCCTCACCGCGCACAATCCGCGCGCGTTTGGGTGTGCCAATGAGATCAGCACAACGCTCTGACGAAGGATATGCGCACAACAAACCAAAACAAGACACATCGGTTTGACGTGGGAAACTATCTCAACGAAGAGTTATCTGCCCAACCCCACGGTGAGAATATCCTGTACACCAGGAGTCAGTCATCTGGGTCACATAGTCCTCAGTTCGGTTTTGGCGTGCTCCGCACAATGTGGACTTGCCCCCCTGTTGCTCGGAGTTTACGGTGCGAACCCCCTGTAGAGCAAAAAACAAATCTGGGCATGCCCAGAAGGTACCCAGATGCCCAGAAATGACTTGAAAATAAAAAATTCAGTCCGTCATTTTCACGCTCCCCGGCTGTAAATAAATCTGGTTCCGATGGAGGGGGGGGCGGGGGGGTGTACTCATAGCCGTGCATGCCGTAGTCGCTAGACCATTGACCTCGCATCCCTACAAAGCCGGGACGGAGCACGCCGGGTTCTCACCGGACCAGGCTCTCACATACAAGCCGGTCGCCCCGGTGGTCTAGTTGGTAGCCTCGTAACCTTCTAGAGGTCAGGTCAGGGGTTCGAATCCCGGCGTAGGCGAGCTTTTCTTGCAAAGTGAGTTTTTCTCTCGCTTCCGCTCCTGGCCAAGTGGATAGCGCTAGTTCGTGTGTACACAGAGGGAAGAGAGTGCTGAACTCTTCTCGCATTAAAAGTTGAAGGCGAAGTACCGCAGGAGGGGAGGGTAGAGAGAGGCTCTTCTGTGTGACCACGGGTTGGAATAAACGGCACTAGTGCTGTGAGCGCTGATTTGAAGTGAAGAACAAAAAAAAAAAAATCACCAAGCGCGAAGCGCCGTGAGGCATTCGGCGAGTCGCATGAAGGGTGCGCGCTGCATCCCGCTGAGGGTGTTCGGCATCTTGTGCTTACTTCCTTGCGTACGGATGACAGCTGCGTATGTTGGCGTATGACTTAATTTCTTTTCTGGTGTTTTCACTTCCAGAGACAGTTACAAGCACGGTGTAACTGCCTCTATGGTGCTTGACCATTTTAACACAACGTGGTGCGTTCATCCCCCTTGCGCGGAGTGAGGGTTCTCGACCCCGCACAACGTAATCTACTCGGCCACCATTCATGGTTGACGCAAAAAAAAACAAAGGTAAAAAAAATCGGCACCCTGGTTGCCGAGTTCACGAAGTGAATTGGCTTGTTTTATAACGTCGTTGCCAAGCGACGAAAACCTAACCCCGACGGCAAACATCGAGGGGGGGGCTTGTTTTACAATGTCGTTGCCAAGCGACGAAAACCCAACCCCGATGGCAAACACCGGGGGGGGCGGCTTGTTTTACAACGTCGTTACCAAGCGACGGAAACCCAAACCCCGATGGCAAACACCGGGGGGACTCATAGACGTGCATGCCGGAGTCGTTTGACCATTGACCTCGCATCCCTACGAAGCCGGGACGGAGCACGCCAGGTTCGCACCGGACCGGACTCGCACATTACCAAGCGCGAATCGCCGTCAGGTGTTCGGCGAGTCGCATGGAGGTTGAGGGGAGGGCAAATATATATGTAGACATCTCTGGTATACGGCGTGCTGGGTCCCTCTGTGTCTCTTTATTGTTGCTGTCGTATTGGTGTAGTATGTCATCTGGGCCTGGAGACCAAATCCACCACCCCCAGGCTTACTTGTCTTCAGAGGAGTCTCATGATCTTATGTTCTCCCCGAGATTAACCTTATGGAGCAGTCCCCAGCCCGTCTGGCCGAGTGGTCGGAGGAAGTTGGCATACCTTTTGCTTGCGCTAGCTTGCCCCAACACCCCGGAAAAGTCTGTTTGGGGTTGATTGATTACATGGCAGCCCAACTAACCAGTATCGGAGACACAAAACCCATATCCGGACCCACCCATATCCGGAGACAAAGAAACAAGACGCATCTCCGGACCCAGCCATATCCGGAGACGAAGAAACTACCCACATCCGGAGACAGAAACTAATGACGTCCGGAGACAAAGAAAGGAAGGGGCCCTATATAATACGCGAAGACATTTCGTTTGTCAGCCTGGATGTTTCGTCGATAAATACATAGCAACATGAACCCTCAGCTTGCGTGGGTACAGGCCGGCAGCAAAGGATATCATGAATACCTGGAAGAGAATCCGAAGCTCGGTCGAAAGCAACGCTCACCAAATCATCACTCTATCTTCCAGGTCGGCCTTGGGTCGGCTGATATTTTTTCCAAGTTTAAGTTTCCCCAACAAACGTGGACCGCACTCTGTACCATGGGTATAGCCTAAGTTGCTTGCGGAATTTTCGTTAGCGCGTTCCCTTGCGTAATGTAGTTCAGGCGTTCCTTACTGCTAAATAGTGTTAATTTCGGCATGTCTACCATTCATTCCATCGTATGTACTACCGACTGATGCCTGACGGACGCAAAAAAAAAAACATACATGTTGATCCGACCACCATCACACAGCTACTACAACAAACAGCAGCCTGCCAGTTATACCAAGAGGACGGGTACAAGGTGCCGAGCTTGCGCGTAATGCTTTGTGTTTTCCCTCCAGAGGGAACAAGAAAACAAAACACAGACAGGTTAGGGGAAAACCCATGCACAATGGACCAGGCTACCACCGACCCCACCGCTTCAACGACGTGTAAAATCTACGTGATCAAGGGTTTCGATGCGCCACCGCGGGCGCGCCATCAGCGCTTACGCATTTCTGAAGGTGAGAGTATATGGCATACACCACATCTGAGGGTGAGAGTATATTGCATACATGTGTGTTTCCCCATCTGTTTTTGGCCCTACAGTTGTACACATTTGGCGGAACGAGAGTACCTTGGACATTGTATGCATGTATACATACGCATAGATACATGCGTCACAATGGCCGGGTCCACACTGAAAGTACAACAGAGCGTACACATGCGAGACCAACAGCATGATTAATTTCTGTTGTGCATCGCATAGACTATACGTCCGGACGGGGGTATTGGCTAAAAGTAGAAAAGACGCCACTCCTCCTACAGAATGCGGCGGAGATAGTTAGTCAGACGCTCGAATGATATCACCCGCACGGCGGCAGGCTGGTGTTGTCAGCGCCAACATGCCAACAATACCGCCGATTACTGAAAAGCCATGTTTATGAATGTTAAAACAAAAGAGTCGTATTACGCCGAATAGCACCCCCAAAAGATAACCATCGCTCTTTCGGCACTTGACAGGACATGTGGAAAGGAGCACTTGCGCAAAAAGCCCTACTCACTAGGATACAACACCTGTGACTTCAGTCCAGCCGTGTTGTCCTTTCTCCAGGCAACCCATGCGTTCTGTCCGAGGCCGCCGCTGCGTGTCCTTTGTCCCCGACCCCAAGGGAAATTTCCCCGGGCCGATCGATAGCTCGAAAAAATTTCCCCGGGTTGCCACAACGAGAACGCAGGGTTTTCCTCACGTCCCCTCTATGTCTGTCTCAACTCTCACGCACGCGCGCGCGGCACACAAGAGGGGGGGGACGCTCGGGAAAGCGAGAGAACCCGTGTACACTCGCTGATACCGCCGTGGGAGAAAGCTCCGGTGGCGGGGGGAGCATCGCGGAACTGGTCGCGTGGCGGCGAAGCTCGAAGGAACCATTTCCGCAGAAAGGAGAGGGACACCTCTGCATCTGCAGGTAGGTGCGCGTTTCCCGGGAAAATGGGGAAATGCCCCACGGGGGGGATTGGGCGCGTGGTGATCTGTTGCCTCGTGTGCAATGCACGGCCGCGGCAAGCGCGTCTGTCCCGGAAAGTTGCGGGGCGAAGCATTGCGGCACCCTCAGCTCTGGTCGAGATAGCAGTTGTCATCATCATATAAGACGACGCTGCTGCTGTGTGCAAGTGTGCATTGTTTGCAGACTCTTCCAAAGGTTGCAAACGGGGGTGGTGATGCTTCGTGACCCGGGTGGCGCCGCGGTTCGGCCGCCGCCTGCCATGCGTGTGTACTCTCGTACTCTCCCTTGTAGCCCCTGACCGCGAAATGATTATGTCAGCAGCCCACCCACCCCCAGCGGTATAGTCTAGGCTCCTCCCACCTCTTGGCCAGAGGGATAGAAACTGGTGCGGAGCAATTGGCCACCATTGCCCCAAACACATCGCATGTCTCTTGTCTCTTCGTCTCCAACTCGTCGAGAACGTCAAGTATCAAGGAGGGAAGATGACATCACCTGTACAGGTGCTTGGAGGTCTTGGCCAATCGGTTGAGAAGAGACCCACTAGACGCCTCTCCTATCCGCTCCTCAGCACTCTACAAACTTCGCCCACACGTACGTGCTTTGCAAAACTACCCGGCTTCGCTCGGTATTTTTCGCTGGCACAACAACTACAAGGTAGCATTCATGCGCACACAGACGGCGCCTTGTACTATCATCACATGACATCCCTTTCATCTTGGTTGAGATTCGTACAAGTCGTCCGCATGGCTTGGTAAACGCCCTTACCGGTACCCGACACATTCTCGGGAAAGTCGGGGCGAAAAAAACCGGGCCCCGACACTTACACACGGCCTTTTGAAACACCACCCTGGCACCAGGTATGCATCGTTATTTCGTTATTTCCCTTGTTGAATAATATTCAAAGGGGTTGTTCAGGTATGGATGCACGGGTGCAAGCAGCTGCTAGACCAAAGAAGGCGGAACCGCCCGACAAACCATCTACGGTCAACGAGTATAACCATCAACGACACCAAGCCGTACGTACCGGGCGTTTGTATCTGCACCAACACCCGTACCCGTCAAGTAGATCGCAGACCACTTTTTGGGGAAGCCTGGCAGGAAAGCGGGAGAGGTGCGTGCCCGCGGACACGGGCAGAGCAGTAGAGAGGAAGGCAAGGAAACGACCCCCCCCCCCAGGCCGATTTCGATTACTACTACACAACGAAGATCGCATTGTGCCGAACACCAGAAAATGATGATTTTCAGTAACATGTCGTTGAAGGCTTTCCGTCGGCGTACATGTGTCGGGCTTTTTTTTTTCCGCACACGCCCTCGGTTGTGGAGCTTTTGAACGTCGATCTACACGTGCGGTGCCATCTCTCCGCCTCTTGCTGGTACAGGTAGCGACTCGGCAGCTATAAGAGCTTCATGCTCAGCAGGTCATCAAAGCAAAGAACTTGAGAACCATTCCTGAGCCCGGTCAAAATAACCCCCCTCCACTATCAGCTATAAAGGGGCCAGTTGTGGCCCACAGCGGGCATTTTTGTGGCCCACAAGAGGAACGAAGAACCCCAAGTTTCTGCCAGGTTCGAGGTTGGTTCTTCTAGATGTGGGCGCTATCTGTAGAGGGCCAAGCTTAGCCGCGCGAGCGAGAAGGAGGCCTGACGTGCGTCGTCATCTCTACGCCCACGCCCACGGCGCGATGCATACGCTTTATCTCTATAGCCAGGTCGCTTGTTGTTGTTGTTGTTGTTGTAGCGGTAGGTGAATATGCTCCATCTTGTTGGGGACCGGCCCCGTGTGGACGGCGGTATCATGCCACCACGCCGTCTGAAAATCATATAGATTTGTCTCAGCACGCGAGAGGCATCGCGCTTGGAAATCGAAGCTCCCCCTCCTGCGCAAGCAAGTAAGCAAGCCCCCTTGGCCGTGTGTTGTTGCCCGCACAGTTGGTTGCTGGCGTGTGTGTTGTGTCCCTTTCTACACCACCAGCGAGGAATGGCAGAAATGAAAGTATTAATCTGTTGAGATTTTTTTTTTAAGGCTCCTCTAGCTTCTTGCGCGCCATTCATAGCTCTGGGTGAGAGCTGCACCGAACGCCAGAGAGTTCTCACGGGCTGTTCTTGGTCATGGACCGACAGACGTCGACACAAGCCGTTTGTCGCCGAAGCAAGGCTCTTGCCCGGAGTCCGCCAGGCTAGATTAGACGGCTGACATCCTGCCTGACTGACAGACCGCTTGGATCACAGCCAGCAAGAAGCGACGCTGCGTAAGCTTGCCAAGACAATAAAATCTCGCTTCGCTCGCCCACCAACGTAGCCGCAAAAATCGAATCCGGCACAACACGAAGGGGCTTCTCTCACCCCACGCTCGCGCCCTGATTCTGGTCGGCTTGCTATCTGTCTGTCTTACCTCATACGCGCAGAGCGAGAATAGCGGACGAGGGCGGCGGCGGCGGCGGCGGCGAAAAAACAGAGAGACTAGGGGAGGCTCAGGATACCCTCCCCCCTTGGTACTGAGCTAGCTGTTGCTGGCTTCTTTAGGCTGCGGCTGCGTTGCAAGCACGTCGTCGTCCAGCCAGCTGGCGAAAGGGGGATACACGAGAAATGATGCAGAAACTGGTGAGAGACGGAGACACAGGCACAACAAATGAGGGGGGCGTGAGCTTCGTTAGCCGTAAACAAGCAGCTGCAATCCCCCGGGTCTGGTGAAAACCCGGCGTGCTCCGTCTCGGCTTTATTCCCGGCTTTGTAGGGGTGCGAGGTCATCGGTCTAACGACTACGGCGATGAGTACAAGCCCTACCCAAGCCCAGAGTTTTCAGAGTTTTCCCACCTACGCAGGGCCGGGCTTCAGCGTGCGGCGAAGAGCTCTTTGGGTGAAGGCCTTGCTACAGCACCGTCCGGTTCCTCTTTGCATGCATGGTATTGTATAAAGTTCTCATTTCGGGGGAACAACCATGCCCGGGGGGCGACCGACAGCATTGTGGTATCAGAGACCCGAAAATCGCGTACCCTCGCGAGTTAGGTGTGGCTGTCTGCGTACTGCCACGAACCTGCCATTACTCTGTGGTACTTTCTGCTGACGCCCCCCTCCCCCGCCCGCGCGCGACGACGCTCTCCCTCTATGGATTGCGCACGCAGCCCTCGCTACCCCGGATGGTCCGCAACGACTCCAAGGCCGCCCCCAAATGCATTGGAGCCGGGGACTTCGGGAAAGGTGATCTCCGCCCCTGCCCTTGTTGGTGCATACAGTAGCACATGGTTATCGGGCGGTGATGCACACCACTGCCGCATGCTAACTACAATCTATGTTGCGCGAGCAGCATTTTCCTTCTCCCCCTACCCCCCACCCCCGGTTTTTGTCATCGGGGTTGGGTTTTCGTCGCTTGGCAGCGATGTTATTAAACAAGCCGATCACTTCGTGAACTCGGCAACCAGGTTACCGCTTTTTTTTTGTTGCCATTGGGGGGTTTTTCGCGGTAACCATGAATGGTGGTCGAGTAGATTACGTTGTGCGGGGTCGAGAACCCTCACTGCGCGCAAGGGGGATATTCGCACCACGTTGTGTTAACATGGCCAAGCACTCTCGAGGCAGTTACACAGTGCTTACAACTGTCTCTGGAAGTTAACGCACCAGAAAAGAAATTAAGTCATACGCAGCTGTCATCCGTATGCATGGAGTATAAGCACGAGATGCCGAACACCCTTAGCAGGATGCAGCGCACCCTCCATGCGACTCGCCGAATACCTCACGGCGCTTCGCGTTTGGTGATTTGTTAGTCTGGTCCGGTGAAAGCCCGGCGTGCTCCGTCCCAGCTTTGTAGGGATGCGAGGTCAACGGCATGCACGACTATGAGTACACCCCCCCCCTCCCCCCCACTTTTATTTTTGGCCGCTAGAGCACCTTCTCTATCTCAATCTTACGCCAACCTTTTGCGCCGCCTACCCACCACCTTTGGCACCAACAACGCCGACAAACATGTGCTTTCCTGTTATTGCGGGGCGGCCGTTTTTTCCCGCCCTTTTCCGTTTGCCCTGGCGGCCGACCGGTATGTCTGCCTGCCCTCCGTGGCTTCGCATGCGCCGCCTTTCCTCTGCAGAGCTGTCTGCCACGTGATCTCATACCCCTGTAGATACGTTCAGCCGTGTGTCACCATTCTCTTCTTCTCATTTCCCTCTCACCCTTAATTCCCCCTCACCTTCTCCCTGTCCTGTCTCCCTCCCTCTCTCTCTCTCTCTCTCTCTCTCTCTCTCTCTCTCTCTCTCTCTCTCTCTCTCTCTCTCTCTCTCTCTCTCTCCCTCCCTTCCTCTCTTTCATTCTCTCTCTTGCGCGCATGTCGCCGCCGTACAACCGCCAGACTTCCATCGAAACTTCATCGTGGGGAGCAAGAAAATCGCGCAAGGGACGACCGCCAACTTATACGAGGGCAAAATGAAGTGCAAGAGAGAAACAGACTGCCGCCGCTACGCGATTAACAAAGTCGGGGGGTTTCAGCTTCGTAAGCTCCAAAAGGAGGCCATGAGTCGAGAGGTGAGTGAAATGTCTCGAGTTCGAAAACAGTATTTTCCCGTTTACATACACGTCTCTTTTGCTACTTAGCCGTCGTTGGTAGGTTTGTTGCTCTTGCTGCTGTTGCTCTGATTTGTCGTTGCTTGTTGTTGCTGTCTCTTGCTGCTGTGGTTCTTCTGGTGCGTACTTTCGATATGGCTGCTACTGCTGCTGCTTTTTGCTGCTCTGCCGGATGTTTGAGGTTGCCATCGAAGTCTCTATGGTCGTCATCAACGAACTAGTTCTCCGCTGCTCTGTACATTGGCACTCCGTTTTTGGTGCCGTTAGGACATGGCACGACTCGTTTCATGTCGATCGTCCCTTCCGACTGAGTTTTTCTTCTTCCGTGAGGCGGCTCTCATGGTCTCTTGGCAAACATCGACTCTGTAGCCGGGGAAGACGTTTTTGTTTTTGCCCTTACTGCATGGAAGCGCGTTTTGCCGCTTGCTGCACCTGCCCAGATGACAAAATCAGCAGATTACCGTATATGACACAAGATAACACACCCCCTGGACCAAATCTTCAAAGCTCAATTACGCCACGACGAAGAGGATGCATTAATGAAACATAACATTTTCGGAGAGTCTCGACGAGACAGCTTCAACCCCACCGTTTTCGGCGCTGTGGATCTTTCTGCTGTTGAGAAATAGAGATTTTAAAATCGGTCCAGAGGGTGTGTTATCTTGTGTCCTTTACGGTGTGTCGTACGCGGAACGCGGATGAGGTAAATGCCTATTTGCACACGCTTTTTCAGTCACCCATTCGTGTCAGCCAAAGTGGGCTTCCGGGCGTCGATCCCGCCACCTCAAAGAATGCACTGTTTATTGTCGCTTGAAACCGTCGACCACAGATGGGTATCCTGAAGATTCTGGAACATCCGAACATCGTAAAGGTATTTCACCTCTACCGCACCCCCTGGACGTACTACATGGTGCTCGAGTACCTGAGCGGAGGCGAGCTCCTCGACGGGATCGTCCGAAAGGTCTTGTGTATGTTGTTGCTGCAGCTGCTGCTGTTGCTGACGTTTTACCGTGATGCATGTAATGCTTTAGTCCCATGAAGCAAGTTAGTTCAGTTGGTCAAGTGAGGCCATGTACATCAAAGACAAGCTGTGAAAGAGCGCAAGCAACGTATTGTCCAAGCGGTTGGCGCGTACATGAGTCCCCTATTGCCTGTCAGCGTGGCCAAGCATGTGACCCGTCCCTTCCTGCAAAACCCCGTCCCTCCACGGATATCCAACGACGTTCCAGGACAGCTACATCGAGAGGGAAGCGAGAGACGTGTGCAAGGTGCTGGTGGATGCCGTCAGCCACCTCCACGACAAGTCCATCGTGAGTCTCATATCGTCGCACAGCGGCTCTCGTCCTCGCCTCGGGGGAACTAAGAATACACGTAGATGAGTCCGATCGGAGGGATTTATCCTTGTGGCGTTGGGCTACTGCTGCTGTACAGAAGGACGAAAATGGGCATGTTGGTTCATGTTTTTGCCGCGAATGGATGCTGCAGCCGTTGTTGTTGTTTAGTCTACTGCCGTGGAAACACAAAAGGCTGACTGTTGATCAACGTCGGCCCTTGTGTAGGGCTTCGTCCTCAGTATCGAGAATGAACGGATCTCCCCACGTTTATCCTCGCCGGTGCCAGGCTTAGCTGGTGGTAATTTCGCAAGCTGTGTCTTGCGCCAAGGGGCCAACAGCAGTTGCTTGTCAGGCCAGAAGCCCCCTGCCCCCCCAACACAGGCTGGGCCACCTACCCTGCCCCGGCGTATTCCGTCCTAAAACCTCGGGTTTGTTTTTTTGACAGGTTCATCGAGACCTGAAGCCGGGAAGCATCCTGCTCGCCAACCCGGAGGACCAGGAGGGAGACCAAGGCACCGCCAGCACCTCTACTACCACCCCCCCCGCAAAAGTCTCCACCTCCCCCCCGAAGGTCACCAGCACTAGCAGGGAGGAGATCAGGGGCAACATGAAGGTAACAACGACAACTACGACGACGATCACCACCGTCGTCACGACCACCCCAGTCGTCGCCCCCGCCAGGGTATCCAGCGACAGCCTCAAGATCACCGACTTCGGTAAGGCGCGCAGTGTTCGCGAAGGACCCATCAAGTCCGCCTGGGTCAAGAGTGAGTTCAGCGCGCCGGAGATGCTGATGCAAGAGGCCCACGGCCCGGTAAGAGGGCCGGATTTGTTTCTGGACGGGTCGCGCGGAAAGGAGCTAACCGTAGGAGGTTTTGCCGGAGGTAGAACACCGGCTGGTTCGAAACTTGATTGTTCCCTCTGCAGTACTGCTGTAGAAGCAAGACTGCGATGGCGGCGTTCGAAAACGTACCGCGTCGAGAGCATTCCGGAAACGAACGTCATTGAAAAGCTTTGTGGTCCTCTCAGCCGAGAGCTCTAAGAAACCGATCCAGGGGGGCTGGCACCTCATGCAACCCACACACTATTTTACCACGTGCTGTTCCCCCCCCAGGGTGGTGAGATGAAGGCCAGCATCCCCCTCATTCGGCAGACCCGCACAAAACGGCCTCCTTTGTATTTTGGGAACCCGGTCCCACGAGACCGGTTTGTCTTGGATGGGTTTCCGAACAGTTCTGGGCAGCCCGCTATCTGTTCATACCGCCGCGCCCACGCCCGAACCGTAATTACCGGTGCCCTCCACCCCCTCTTGCTGAATCCACGGTTGTGTTTAGCCGGTCGACATGTGGAGCCTGGGCTTGATCACCCACATCCTCCTTAGCGGGAACAACCCGTTCTTCCACGAGGATGAGCAGCAGATGTTCTTGAGGGTAGCGAAGGGGGCCTGCGAGTTCAAGCCGGAGATTTGGAGGAGCATCTCGCCGGAGGCCAAGGTGTGCGGTAGGCAGACGATGGCGTGTAAGGTAGGGGAGGTAGGCTTTTGCCTAGGACTGCCAGGCAGCCCAAGCCGTAGGTCTGGGCACAATTTCTAAAAACAGCTTTTCGCCCCGCAAGACCTTCGCCAGGACGTGTAGCCAGGCGACGGTGTTAGGGTTTTGCCAGGGGGTGAAGTGAAGGCAGGCAGAAGTATGCGAGTAGAAGGCGCTGCTTCGAGTCGAAGGATAAGCAGGAGGAGACTTTTCACTGCTCCGGCCGAGCTGGCGGGGGTGTCGCTGTCACAGCCCCCATGCGCGGATACTCACTCACAAGGGTTCCCCATCCTACACCCGTCCCAGGACTTCGTTGCAAAGCTGCTGAAGGTGGACCCGGAGAAGCGGATGACGGCGCAGGAGGCTAAGAGCCACGCCTGGCTCCACGCTGCCGGAGAAAGCTTGGGGGCCGGCGACCTCCGTGGCAACCTGGAGGGGTACAAGGTATCGGACGCCAAGAGGAAGCTGCGGGCGTTGATGAAGACGGTGAGACACACGCACACCCCTACCATAGGATAGGGAAAACCTTTGTTGAGCCGCCGCTTTTGGCAAAGTAGGAAGGAACCATTGGCCATCCGTGATCGGTGGGAATAATGCTCCAGTGACGCGTGGTCAAGGATCTATCAGCTAGGGCATGCGAAACACGAGTACGCCCCCGCCCCCCTAGCACAACCCTCTGTTTTGTTTGTGTCCGGGGTGCGAGGTTGACCCCCTACGTACATGTACCAGGCAGGGCAGAGGGACATCGTTTTGTTCTGCTTGTGTTTTGTTCGCTGGTAAAGCGTTCGTTCGATGTGTTTGGTGTTGATCTCGCACCCAGCCCGGGTCTGGTAGAGTAGCCTACAGTAGCAATAGCAGCAGCAACGACGAAGACAACACCAACAACAACAACACCAACAACAAAAAACAACGACAACGACAACAGTTGGTGGTGGCCAAGCGTTTGGTGGACAGCCTGCAGCCCACCAAGCCGGACCTTTCGAAGTACGCCTGCGTGAAGAAGCTGGGCGAGGGGGCCTACGGGCAGGTCTTCCAGGCCACCCGCATCGCCAGCGGCGACGCCAGTGCTGCCGGCGTAGGGGCGGCCCCCCGCTATATCGCCGTAAAACGCATACAGAAGGAGGGCCTGACCAAGAAAGAGACAGGGGACATCATCAACGAGGTGGGTGGGCGTGGCTTGGGAGGAAGAGGGGGGCAACGGTAGGCGGGGGGTGGGAAACCCTGTTGTTTTGTTGTTGTAGGCCGGTATGTAGACGGAGGTGACGACTACTGACGGGAGGGGGGTAGACGGAAACGGTCCACTTTTTTATGTGTGGCCGGCCAGAGGGGTAGGTTGTTGCACCGCGCTTCCCAACCTGCCAAGGGTTGGGGCGAGGGGCGGAGATCGACCTTCAAGGCATGTATTTTGCTTACTATGCTGCCTGCGAGCTCTCGCCTTTGTCGGTTGGAATCAGGCCCCGAGATGCGGAATTACTTGCCCACGTCGGGCTGCAACCGCCCCCCCCCCCCCC